AAAAAGCAACTTGGACATAAGAAAAGTATATATCTCAGAGGGCTCTAGGGGGGTTAAATTAAATGATTAATACTTAAATAAAACTCCAAATAGTGCCTGGCATATAACAAACACTTAATAAATATTTAACCAATTTGGCTTTTTAAAATCTTACTCATAAGGGCTTGGCATGCTGGCTATATTTTCTTCCTAATATAAAACTAATTTGTTTCAAAACTTAGTTTTGTTTAAAGACTTGACATGATGATTATATTTTTTCTAATACACATAAAAATGTATACATAAAATCTTATGCACACTTTCAGTGGTATAAGTCTTTCTCTTTGGGAAATTCTATTCTAGGCGGGCACTCCAATGATCTGTGGTTCCCTGAACATACAGTGCTGTTCCTTGACCTTTCCAGTGTGATTCCCCCTTCTTGGAATGTCCTTACCTCTCCCTCACTTGGCTGCTTCTACTTGTCTTCAAGACTTAGCTTGGGTATTACGTCCTTTGGCCCCCAGTGATTAAGGTACATCCTCTGGGCTCCCACGACCCCCCAGCACATCCCTCTGTCACAACACTGATCACTTGGGGTATCACTGTTTCCGTCCTTCAGGTGAGGGAATGTATCCTATTTCACAGCATAGTACTTGGCATAGCAGGTGCTCAGGAAGCCTTAACTGGACTGAAGTAAAATGAAGTAGCCAAATATTTAATATAATAAGAATTAATCAGAACCTATTTTTGTAGTTTCTACTCAGTGCCAGGCCATTTGCTGGGCATTGTGGGTACAAAGATAAACAAGATTCATTTTCTGTCCTCATGGAGCTTTAGGGAGATGGGTAAGTAAGCAAGTGTTTCCAAGTGTGATGGGTACTGTGACTGTTGTGTGCATAGGGCACATTAAGTAGGGGCACAAAAAAAAAGAGCTCAGGGCATGAAAGTCTTCACAGAAGATGTGAAACCTGAGCTGTTTCGAAAGCTGTATGGGGGTTAGTGGCTGGATGAGGGTAGGGGGTGGGGAACAGAGGAGTTCTGAACAGATGGAGCATAGCCAGTCTAGGGAGAGTGCTGGGAGTCTCCCTGGGGACAGCAGGTTGAAGGCATAAAGAGATAGCCTGAGGTCACCAATTATAGCTTCATCACATGCTTAAAGTTTTATGAACTATGGGAATGGGTGGAAGCACTTTCTGGACCCTGAGAAACTCTGTGATGGAGTAAGAACAGCAAGACCCAAGATATCCCAACCTCCCTACTGCTTAAATACCTAAAGTTTGCTAATTTCTATTCTAGGGCACTCTGGGGAATAGAGGAAGGGAGAAAGAAGTATAGGACACCCCTCCACACATGTATTCATACTAAATAATATAGGTGTGTACCAAACATCGTTCATACTTATACAATTTACCCACCTACATGCCCAAATATCTGTACTTAAGAAACTGTGAGAGAATAAAACTTCAAACTTCATACTCTTCAGTCATGCAACACTAGGTTGTGAGAAATACTTAGGGAGACTGGCTAAAATATAAGCAATGCATACTTTCTTCTAGAGGAAATTTTATCCAAGGAAATCCTACAACAAACACCAATACAGGGAAGGGAAAGGAAGGGAAGGAAGCAAGCTGCTGTTTAAAGCAAGTGTAGGTGGGAGTCTTGCTGTGAAGCCACTGAGACACACTGGAGGCACCTGAGTCTCAGTAGAGCGCAAGGATCAAGATGCTTTAATCTTGGAAAAAGCCTGGGCTTCACGGAGCTGCATACTTAAACATCATCATTTTATCCCTTCACAGAATTACTTTGTCATGAATTGTGTTTTGGTGAGGAAGTGTCAGCTTACATTGAGAGATTATAAAACACAGCCTGCAATGTTGTGGCTGCTGTAAAAATCTTTGATATTAAGGATATCATCACATGCAGCATATAGAGACTGCTCTATAGTTGCCAATGAAGAGTAGTGCTTCTCTGTAATAATGGGTTTGTTTTTATTTTAGGAACAATCTCTGAACCACGCAACTAATATGCTTCTCTCTTTGCAATGGTTGCTAGGAAGCTCAAAGCCAATATTTTGACTCAACTCTTGTACATGCCCAATAACTTAAAACATACATACTTACCCTCACTCCTGGCATCCTCTTATTTTCCCCTACCCTTTTTTCCCTTTGCTCCAATTTTCTCATTTATTTTTTTAAATTGATGTACTATAAAGATTTCTAAAAGACACCTCAAATCCTTTATGGAAGGATCTGGTCAAAAAAAAAGTTCATAAATTTAAATTTTACTTTACATTCAATGTATATATACATATCACATAACAAATTACTTAAAATTCACTATCTCAAAGCCCATATGTATGTCACACAAACATAAAATACACACAGAGCACACATGTACATAATTCACAATCACAGCACATCCTTAACATTACACACCCATGCACGTGTGCATGCACACCAACACACACACACACACACACACACACACACATACTTGTGCACATACCAAGCTGCTCTGCAAGGAGCTGGCCCTTCTCAGTGGGAACAACCCTCTCTTCCTCCATGTCACACTTGTTCCCCACCAGGATAACCTGTGCATTATCCCAGGAGTAGGTCTTGATCTGAGTAGCCCTAAAAAGAGACAGAAAGAAGACTATGTTAATGACACCCTCCTAGACTGGCATGGACCCTGCAAAACTCAAAGAAATGGCTTCCTTTCCACAGGGCTAGCAACACACAAGTTATGTCAACTGTCAATTAATTCAGCTGAAAACAGACAGATGCCTGCCCTGCTGGCTGTCACAGATGCTGATCCCTTAAGTCCTGGTTTTAAATCTCAGTCAGCTCTTTAGAGACCTCTTATAATGCATTTGCCCATCCCTCCACACTGAGCACAGACGTCCTTCTAAAACATCTATCTGGCCATGATAAGTCCTTTCCCAAAAGCTTTCTCTGCCCACCCTCTACACCCCTTGCCCTGCTACCAACTAGCTATGCAATGAAGTCTAGATCCCTCAGGTAAGCCTTGAAGGCCATTCATGTCCTGTCTCTCTCACTTCATCATCCTTCCTCCCACTTCACAAACTTTCTCACCCATTCCCCACATGCTCTTCCATGGTTTATACCTTTGCCTAAACTGGGAATCCCTTCCCCGCACTAACTCATCCTCCAAGGCCCAGTGCTGCTCCCACCATTCCTTGGGGAAGCCTTCTCAAGCTTCCCCAGGCATAGCTAGCTTTTCCCTCCTCTGTGATTCATGAACCTCCACTGAGGTCTCAAATCACGTTTAATTGTAGAAACCAAAATGTCAGCGGTGGTTTCCTTCATGTGGGGTGATTATGAAACTTCAAAAATACTTGTCTTCACTTTTCAAATTTTTGAAAGTGAGCATGCATTACTTCTATGATGAGAAACAAAATTTTAACAGAGGGAATAAAATAGGATCCTTGTATTATGGAGACATCTTTTTGCAGGGATGAGCCTAATTCTGTCCCCAGCCACCCGATCAGGTATAAAGATTATTTCCCCTTTTTGTTGTCTACAACTTTATTGTGGCACATGTTACATTTGGATGAATTTATCTATCTCTCCCCAAGGGCAGGGACAGACTATTCATCTTGAGGGTGCCAGTCCTCAGCACCCTCAGAGCAGAGAAGGTATGAGTGAACAGCTGATGAATGAATAAACCAGCAAATTGTTAATCCTGAAGCAGATTTAAAATCTGACCCTATTCTGACACTTACACTCAATCTAACTCAACCTTAACTGCAGCCAGGATCAACCCTGCTCCTAAAACTAATCCCACCACCAAATTTCTCATTAAGGGTAAAAATTTATTCCCTCAAAGAATGGGATTCACCCAGCCACCATTTGTTGTGGGGGTCATCAAAGAGCCAGATTCCATGCCGGGGTACTGGGGCTTAGATGCAGGTGAGGGCTAAGCTGGGTGAAGTTTCTCAGAGGCAAAACTCAAAGGACAGGGCTTGGGAGAGACAGACCCTCAATCTTCAGTCTCAAGGCAGGTAACTGGAGCCAACTCTCTATTTCTCCATGCTACTCTTCTTGTCATTGCCCCTCTGCCCACCCCACCCTCTCCCAGCTTTCAGATTAGCAACTCAGGCTATTCTTGGAGGAATCATCACCAGGTGTTAAAGTTGCTGTGTTCCTGAGGCAGAAGGAACAGGGACTAATGGAGAAAAGGAAGGAAGTCAAGTCCAACAGGGAATAAGTGTCGAGACACTTATAAAAAGAGCTAATCACTCCATGGTAATAGGTGGGGGGAAAGGGGAAGAGGGAAGAAATATCATAACTGGAGGGAGGAGAGGGAATAAGGAAGGGGAAAAGGATGAGAAAAAGGGGGAATAGAGAGAAAAGAACGGGAGGAAAGGAGAAAGAGGGAAGGCTGAGAGTTGTTAAAAGGGAAGTGGGAGAAAGGAGGAAGAAGAGGATGACCGGGAGGCTGCAAAGGAGAACACAGATCACCATGAGTGACGGCATGACGAGAGCACCCTGGACTGTTGTTCAGAACAGGGAGGCAGCAGGCAGTCTGCAAGGTCACTGTCAGATCAAGGCTCCAAGACACCAATAGTGCTTCACAAAGATGCATGGCAACTGTTCCTTAGAAGAGAAGTCCTCAAAGGGTAGCTCTTGGGCAGAAGGGAACAGGAGACAAGCTTGGCACTGGCCAGCACTGCTGCTGTGTGTCCAGCCTGCTCAGCTCTCTGATTTTGAAGAATACCCACAGTACAAGTGCTCCAGCTTCCCCCATTCTCATCCTTTCCACTGGTTATGGGCACAGGGTCCTGGCCCCTCCCTCTCACCTCTCCCTGTGAGTTCGGCTCTAGGAAGGAAGACGTAAGTTGTTCAGAGGTTGTTATCTCTGAGGGGCTGTGCTGATTTTCAATGTATACAGAATCCTTATGAACTTGGACCAGATGTGCTCTTGGACCCCTAGTGCAGCCTAGAGATACATGTTATAGAGAAGCAGTACGTAGATTCAACTCACTACTACGGCCAGAATGATCTTTCTAAAAATTAATCTGAACCTATTGGTTCAGATTAGTCATTTACGGGATAAAATCCAAACTCCTTACCCTGCACACAAAATCCTTCATGACTTCTGCTCTTCACAACCCCGTACCTACCTTCTCACCTTTGTACATCTGGATTCTTTTCCTGGAACATTCTTATCCATTCACCCCCTGGCTAACTCTGTCCATCTTACAAAATGCAACATACATGTCAGCAACTCCTGGACACCTTCCCTGGCTCCCCAAGCTCAGTCAGAGTCTTCCACTGGGTTTCCACAACCCTGGTGCCTCTCTCTATCACTGTGCCTGTCACACAGTATTTTCCCTGCCTGCTTATTGATCTCTCCTCTCATCGATGAATTCCTTGAGGACAGGAGCCATGTCTGCTTCATCCTGATTTCTAGCACACAGCACAGGACCTAGCATACATTGGGTTTTCATGAAAGTGTGAAGAATTAATAAATGAATCTCATACCAATCTTGGACAGCATTAAAGGACTCCTCATTGGTGATGTCATACATCAGAATGAAGCCCATGGCCCCACGGTAATAGGCTGTGGTGATGGTCCGGTACCGTTCCTGCCCAGCTGTGTCCTGGGTGGGAAAAGGAAAGAGTCATCCTCCTAGAAAATCGTTTTATTCTTAAAGTCCCCAGAACAACTAATTAATTATCCAAGGTACATTTAAGGAGCACCTATTACGTGTCTTATGTTGTACTTGGTGACTAGAATAAAATGGTTCTTAAAACCTAATAGAAATTAGTAAAAAAAAAAATTAAAATCCCAACAGAAAAATGGACAAGAGGAAAGAACAATTCACAGAAGAAATGTAAACAGAAAACTATTACATAAAAAGGTTTTAAGCTTATTTTAAATTATAATATCCATTACAGATGAGGAAGTAGTGAGATGTACAACCTCACGCCTTGCTCATGGGAGTGGAACCTGGTTCAGTCTCTCTGGAAGTCAGTTTGGAAGTCTCAAGAGCATTAAAAATATTTGTTCCCTTTGACTCAGCAACTTTCCTTCTAAAAAGTCCTGTTACAAAATCAGACAAATACTTAAGTACAAAAATGTTTGTTACCACTTTATGTAGACAGTGAAAAAGTATCAACTTATATATTCAATAATAGGAGCATGGTTAAAATATAAGAATTTTTGTGTTTTTATTCATGTAAGAATTTAATGACATGGAACAATGCTTATATGTGATATGGTATCCATTTTGTAATGATATACATGCAGAGAAGAAAACTGGAAAGAAGCACTTCAGAAGGTTAATAGTGATTATCTCTGTATGAGAGACAAGAAGTACAGAGATTTTAATATTCCTCATGTATTTTTATTTTCTCTACATGTGCTCATATTACTCTTATATAAGAAGAAATAAACATTCTCACTAAAAAAAATGACCAAGACAATTCTTTATCTCAAGCAGCTCACAGTGTAGTTAGAAAGGCAAACACGTAAGCAAGCAAGCAAAGAACAATACAAACAGCTCAGTGTTACTGGAGCACATGTGCATGCTTCACAAATGTTCACAGAATCCCCACGTGAAAGACCAGCCAATCTTCTCTCTTTCATTAGTTTTAGATGTGTGATGCTTGAACATATATAAAACATTACCTCATATATTAGTTAATACAAATTCTATGAAATCCCTGTGAGGTAGGTGTTATTAGTATTGACATTTCATAGTTGAGAATGCAAAAATGCCAACAAGGTAAGTGATTTTTCCCAAGGTCAAAAAGATGGTGATAAGAGCTGTGCCTTAAATCTAGGACTTCTGATTCCAAGTTCAGTGCACATACCATTGCACCTCAATCAATGAAAAATTTATCCACATTTACTGAACACCACCTATAATAATAATAAAAACAAGTAACAGGAACAATTACAGCATGCCATTATTTGTAATAATGTTGCACCTGTTATCCATAAACTTAAAAAAAACCTGTAGGGTATGTATTATTACTCCATTTTATAGATGAGGAAACCGAGATTCAAAGATGTTGCCCACCAAATGTCAGGATTAGAATTTAAAATTAGTCTATCTGACTCCTATACCCGTTACAATATATTGCCTTAGCCTTGAACCACAATATAAAAATGGAATAAGCACCATCCCTGCCCACAGGGATGCCTCAGTAAAGGTGTAGAGGTGGCTTAGACCATTGAAATGATAATTAGCAATATGTGACAATATGTCATCAATACCACATAAGCAGTATTAAGAAAATGTGTCACGCAAGTCAGATAAGGTAGAAACATGGTAGTTTGGGGTAGTATTGGAAGGTCAAAACAGAGATAGTATATCAGTTAGGATATATTGAATTAGTCACTAATACACAGTCCCCAAATTTCAGCAACTTAAACAATGTTTTATTTTTCACTATTATTACATATCCATTAAGAGTTAGCATTTTGTCTTTCTTCCTTATTCCAGGATAAAGACGGATAGAGCACCTACCAGAAGGAAAGAAAGTAAGTAAGTCATATTTTGGCTCTTAAAACTTCTGCTTTTCCCATTCCACTAGCCAAAGCAAGTCATGCACATCCAAGAAAGTGCAATTTATAACATGCTCAGGAGGAGAAATGTGGTAGACAATATGACTCCTCCTAACGCAATCTGCACCAAGCCCAGAAGCATCACCTGGAGATGTGCTGATCTGGTAATAGAAAGAGGATAACAGGGACTTTTCTAAAGAATTTTCCAAGCAGAGAAGTGAAGGAAAGGTATTTCAGCAGAAGGAATAATTTTTGCCAGTGAGTACTCCAGAAGAACTTAAGGGAAATGGGTAGGCAGTGAAGCTAGAAGGAGCTTTGAATGGTGTGCTACAGGGTTTGGACTTTATCTTTCAGGAGCAAAGATTTTGAGGCAGAGATAAACGTAATTGGATCTGAACTTTAGGAAGATCTCTCTGGCTGTGATATGGAGAATGAACTGGAGGGAGAAGAGAGATGGGAATCAGGAAGGTTGGTTAGAAGCTCTTTGCAGTGCTTCAAATGAGACCCAATAAGGACTTCAACTAGAGTGGTAGCAGCAGAGGTGGAATAGAAACAGATTCAAGAGGTATTGAAGAGGTAAATTATAAGGCATGGTGACAGATTAAATGTGAAAGTTGAGAAATCAAAGATAATAGTTATGTTTCTGGCAAGACTCAGCTTCTCCATGTCCTCAGCAATTCAGCTCTGGCCCAGACTGGTACAACCTTACTCAGCAAAACAAAATCACATTTAACACACTCACCATGCTCGGCGAGCCATCTGAGTCACCATCTCCTGTTCATTGAGCATGGTCTTTGGATGTCTTACTCTTCACCTCAAGCAGCTTATCACAGTATTCCTTCTGAGCATATATAGTACTTCTCCCTAAGCGTTCCGGCAATTAAAACTTTCTGCAGCTCATGAAATGAGTGAGTGAATGAATGAATGAAGAGATGGATGAATGAGTCAGTGAGTAAACATATAACACTGGGAATCTTAGGCACTATGAGAGAAATATTCAGTCTTTGCCATATCTACACAAAAGCACTGTTTGTGTATTTATGAAACATAGCAGCAGAGTTTGATCCACCCCTTCCATGCCCTTGCCTCTTTTCCCAAGTTCCTCAGAGCCAACACCACTGACAAGACTCTTTCCACCCAGCTACAGGCTCAGACCCTAAAGCTTGTCCTGTAGGGTTTACAATGAAGCCACCCTTGCAGATTGGTGATCTAGAAGCCCAGGCAAAATTTCTGAACAACTGTACTGCTTCAACTCTTCTCACTCTGCCTGAGTCCTACCATTTCTATGTGAGAGTTTCTAGTCCCCCATCTCTGGCTGGAGCCAGGCCTTGTACCCCAGCTCTAGATAGAAGAGACCTATCACCCAATTGATGCTCAATTAATTGGGAATCCTGGTATAATAATAAATAAGGTTGGATATGGAATCAGTTTCATTTCTGTATTCTCAGTGTCTAGTGCAAGGCTGTGCACACAGTAGGGATTCAATCACCACTTGTTAAAAAGGCCACATAGATTTGAGGGTAAGAACATGGTCTCTTGAGCTGGTAGTCTGGGTGTGATTCCTGTTCTACCACTTACTAACTATGTGACTATGGTAGGCAGCCTCTGCAGTGGCTCCTAGTGATCACTGACTCCTGATATTTATGCTTCTGTGTAAATCTCCTCCTTGGGCAATTTACCTGTTGAGGCCTTAGTTTCTTCATTTAAGAAATGGGAATAACAACAATGCTTACTTTACAAAGTTATTGTGGAGATTAAGTTATTATATCTAAAATGCTTGAAACACTTCCTAGCACAGAGTACATAGTAAGTGCCATATAAGCATCAGTTATTATTTTTTGCACTTCCAGAGCCAATCCCAAGAGCAGGGCCAGCTTCCCAGGGTCTTCAACTGAAGGGAATGAGTCTCATGCCATATGTCACTTCCTACTCAAGGGCTGCCTCCAGCCAGTGTCAATATACTTTCTGCAAAGAGTAGAAAACAGCCTGACAGAAAGGAAAGGGATGAGTATAAGAGTTGCACAGGCCTTGACTCCCAGAACTGCCATTCATCAGCTTTGTGATTTTGGACACTTTGGTTTATCTAACTCTCTGAGGCTCAGTTTTCTCAAATCTGGAATGGAAACAATAATGCCTACTTTGTTGCATGTTTATAATTAACTAAGATGTATATTAAGTGTCTAGCTCATAATAGGTACTCAAATATGAGAGCATTTAGCACTTAATTATTATTTAACTTTTCTAAGACTTAGTTTTCTCATAGGTAAAGTGCTGGTAACATTGTAACCTTGAAGTGATTGTGTGAGGATTAGAGATAATGTACGGGGATAGCCTGGCAAAGCATACATAGTAGGTGCTCAAAAACTCATAGTGGCTGCTGCTCTTACTGTTGATATTGTTATGGTTATTTCACTTATACAAAAGCAAGTTTGAAAACAACAATCCAGCTCTCACTAGCCTGTGCTCAATGGAAAGTAGCCCAGAGAATCACTCCTGAACCTCCCACTCTCTTTTATTTTTTAAAATCACTTTGACAAACACTGATTCCTCTCCCACTAATGAGAGTTAGAAATAGAACCACAGAGGAGACAGGAAGGAGGAGAGAGAAAGAGGCATGACTCATTGGCCACTTGAGGAAGGAGACCATGACATCAAGAGCAATCAATTTATTTCTATCAAACAGGCATTTGTTGAGCTTTTCCTATGGGCAGAGCATTATACCAAAAAATAGACAACAGAGTGAACAAGCCTCTGCCCTGAACTTCAGCAGCTGCTTCAGTGTGGCAGACAGACAGAGGGGCGAGGGAGAAGGAAGATAACATCAACTCAACACCTACTATGTGCCAGGCACTTTGGTAAATGCTTTATATATGAGATCTCATTTATTATTTGTGATAACAAAGTAAAACCACTAGTTGAGCACTGTTATATACTAGGCACTCTACTAAACACTTTTCCTATTTTATGTAATTTCTAAACAGCCTTGTAAATACTAGTATTTCTTTTACCAGTTGGAAAAAAGTTAAATAACTTGCCTAAGATCTTGTAACCAGGTCATGGCAGACTGAGATTCAACCCTGGGTTCTG